CAGCCCTGCCCCTGCAGTCCCTCAGAGTGCCTTGGGTGCCTTGGAGTAAAATTCAGGCCAGGAGACTGGGCTGGCCACTTCCGGCCACACGGCCCTCACTGCCTCCCTGTCCTTCACAAACCTGACGCTGCTCAGGAGAGGCCAAAGCCAGGCCCGCCTCCCCTCTGTCCCCGACCCCCTGACAGTGCCCAGCTCCAAGAATCTGACTAGGAACACCCAGGACCCTCAGCTGCCTGCAAACCCCAACTCAGGACACGCACCCAAAGGACACTGCCCTGGACAGCGATCCTAACACGCAGCCTGCTGCCCAACCCAGGATGCGCCAGCGTCTGCACTTCCAGGTTCGTGTGTCCAACCAGCAACATCATCATTACTGTGTTCGTCAGGATCATTACTGCTTTTGGTGGCTCTGGAGAGGGAACCCAGGGCCTCGCACACGCTAGGCAGACTCTGCACTGAGCCCCGCCCAGCCTCCACGGACATTTAGTGAGCAGCTACTGTGTTCCAGGCACAGAGTGTCCAGCAGGGAGCAACAGGCAGAAGCCCCTCTCCTGGGCATGACAGTGGCCTGCAGAGGGCCTAGGGAGACGGCGGGTGACGAATACCCTGGAGGAAGATGAATCCAGGAGGGCGACGAGCGATGGGGGTGGGGTGGGGTTGGGAGGTGGCATTTGAGCAGACACCAGGAGGAGGTCAGGAGTGAGTCCTGTGACAGCTGGGGAAGAGGAAGCAGCCTGTGCAAAGGCCCCGGGGCAGGAGCTCACTGGACCTGAGCAGCAGCCGCAGGCCAGTGTGGCGGGAGCTGATGGTGGCTGGGGGTGGGGGCAGAGGACGCAAGTGACAAGTGACGGCAGGAGCTGAAGGGACAGAGGGTGGGGCTGGCCAGGGCGTTCCCAGGGGAGGTGGTGAGCAGTGGGGGTGCCACAGAGCCCAGGGCTCACAGGGGCTGCAGAGGAGGGAGGGACCTGGCCCGGTTCTGGCCAGGAGGACTGAGCGGCCCTTCCTGCCCCAGGCAGGGCTCTGGAAAGCCGGCTTGCGGGAGGCCTTGGGTGCTGCCTTTGAGCCACCCGGCAGGAGGGATGGAGGAGCTGGCCAGTCCAGAGTGACCTGGGGACGGTCCCCAGAGAGGCCCTCGTGGAGTGGGAGGTCCAAATCAGCTCCCCAGAGGAGGGTGTGGCTGCAAAGAGAAAGGGTAGCCCGCACAGCCCCCCGTGGGGGGACCTGGGAGCCAGCACCTCCCGCCTTCCTGCTGGGCTCAGCCCAGGCCTGCGCCACGCAGCCCTGGGGCCGCTGGCACCAACAGGACGAGTCCAGGCACACAGAGCCTGGGTGACTCGCCCGGGATCACAGCTCTGAGCCACACGGTTCAGCCCTTCCCTGTGGGACCTCAGCAGTGTCCCCAACACCACAGCCCATCAGCCACTTCCAGACCTGTCCCCGAGGCCGGTGCCAGCTCACTCTGTGGCTGAGCCTGAAGTGCCCACACCCCCTGCCCGGCTCTCCTTCCCAGTCAGTCTGCAGTGCTGAGCCCCACTGCACAGGGGACACCGAGGCTCAGAGAGGTAGTGTCACCAGGTCAGGGCTGGGATCAACCCAGGACAGCAGCATCTGGGGCCCAGCGCCTCTGCGTCCAGCGGGCTTCCTTGGGCCCAAGGGGGGTGCTGTGAGGGGACGCAGCGGCTAGGGACCCTGCCCGGGGCTCCTGAGCACCACATTCTGCAACGACTCCCTGAGACCCCAGCCCTGGGGGTGGGGACTCTATCAGACCCACCTGACGGGGGTGGGGGACAGGCCACAGGACCTGCCGCCCTGGCCTCCCGCCTCCGACCCCACCCCTCTGGAGGCCCCAGGGAGTGGAAGAGGCCGGGGTAGCCTTCAGCAGGTGGCTCTCCTCTGTCCCCTCAAGCTGACCTCAGGCAGTGACCCAGAGAGCCTGAGTGCCCACGGCACAGGGGGACAGAGCAGCCCTCCCCACCAGCCAGGCCCGAATTCTCTAAGCCGATACCCGGGACCTCTCCCCCAGGAGCAGGACTTCCTAGGGAGCCACACCTGGGCCCCTGAAGCCCAGTGGAGCAGGGACCCCAGGAGCACTGTGCCCACGGCCAGCCAGGGCCACGTGGACGCACCCACCTCCGCTCTGCTCAGCCCCAAAGCCAGGCCCCGCTGACCTGGCCTTCCTGCCGAGTCCATGGAGTCCCCAGCACAACCTTGGGTCTGCTGCTGCAGAAGGCCAGGGCTCAGAGGCCCAGAGAGGGGTGTCCTTCCCCCAGAGACACACAGCGGGGGCCGGACGGGGCTCTGGGAGGTGGCTTATCTGCTCTCAGGGGCTGTGGCCAGACACTGTGGCTGTGGCCACAGCCCTCGGAGGGCCCTGGGGGACTGTCCCCGAGCATACATGGTGCATTCCTGTGTGTGCAGCCTGGACCTGGCCACTGTAAGTCCTGCCACCTACGGGCAGGGGCCTCCTCAGTGAAGCTGAGTGACCCTGGGCTTCTCGGGGCAGGCTGGGCGGGAGCCGTCGACCTGGGCCCGGCCGGGCACCCTGGGCCCCTCACAAGACCCTAGCCAGGACAGCTGCACGGGCTGCCCCCCAGCTAGGGCTGGCCTGGGGTGGAATTAGGCTGGGGTCCCACCTGGGCGTGGGCGGAGGAGGGCAGAGGGCGCCCAGCCCCAAGAGAGGCCCCAGGTGGAGGCCACAGCACCCCGCAGACCCTCCCAAGTGCCCCCAGACCAGAGGCCAAGCCTCCTTGCCGCCCCTCGGGAGGCCTGTCGCTCAGGGAGGCCTGGACCTTGGGGGGGCTCACGCGGCCAGGCCCGGCCACCTCGGTCCCCAGGGCTCCCGGGCCAGAGCCGCCAGTAAGGCAGCTGCTCAGTGCCTGTGACCGCAGGCTGCGGTGGCCTTACTGTGTGGGGCGGGGGCAGGTCTCCGCCACTGAGCCCCACCCTCAGCCCTTTTAAGTTTTTAAAAAAATGTTGACACAGGGTCTCATTAAGTGGCCCCGGCTGGCCTCAAACTTGCGATCCTCCTGCCTCAGCCTCTCAGGTCCCAGGGATTTTCGGTGTGGCCACCGCGCCTGGCTCTGGCTATTTTTATGGGACGGTGCACATCATGAAATGCCACCTGTGTCCCAAGGTCTGTGTCTCTTCCTCTAGCCCAGTTCTGAGCCAGGGGCTGCTCCGCCTGGGACGTGTTGGGCCGTCACCACCGTCACCAGTCACCACCGTGGGCTCCTTCTGCAGAACCTCGGACGACGCTCCGGTCAGTCCCCTCAGCCAGGCAGTACTTGGACCCGTCGCCCCCACGTAGCTCTCCACTGTCCTCACAGGACGCGTGGCCGAGCAGGGGGGACCTTTGGATTCAGGGCAGAGTCCTTGCTGGTTCCTCTGCCCCCACAGCAGGTAGAAGGGGGTCCGTCTCGTGGACAACTGGAACTGATTGACCAGTTTTTAAAAAGGGGGTTCATCAAGTTCTCACCACTTGTCTTCCTGAAAGTTGGGGTCCCCCGCACTCTCGTTGGCGTGCAGATGGCTGGTACAGCGGCGGACGCCTCTGACCCACCGGCCTCCTGCTGGGGCGCCTGTGGGAGGTGGGTTCCCCAGAGGGACCCAGGCAGCCGAGTCCCAGCTGCCGACACCTCGGCCTCGTGCCCTCTGGACTCCAAGCCTGGGTCCTCCCTGGGGGTGGGCAGGGGGCAGGGCTCTGACAGGCTGTGGGCCAGCAGCGGCCAGTCCCCAGGCCCTCCCTGGGCGAGGCCCTCCCTGGGGTGTCCTGGGAGGCCCGCACTTCTCTTACTGCACGCCCACACCCACTGTGGCAGGTGTCCTGCCCACCCGTGAGGGCCTCACTCTCCACGGTGGCTCCTGCAGAGCCCAGTGGCCATCCCCCAATTACAGATGGGGACATGGAGGAACAGCAGGGGACGGTCACTCAGCAGAGCCAGGAGTGGGGCTCTTTCCCTGCATCCTGCTTCCTCCTGATTTCCAGAGCCACAGCAAGAAGGACTAAGGGCAGATGGGTGGGGAACTTCCCTTCCAACTTCCCGGCTCTGGGATGTCCCTGAGGGTGCTGGGAGTGGACACTCAAGAGCATCTCTCTGGAGGCTTCAGAAGAGAGGCCTGAAGTCACTGGGGGAGGACATAGGTTTGGGGGGCTGAGGGTGGGACAGGGGTCTGCAGAACCTCATGTTCCAGTCCCATCAGCCAGACCAGCCCTCAGAGCCCCTCACACCCCCCTGCCATTGCCTGAGCCCCCCGGGTCCCCCAAATGCAAGCCCAGCCACGTCCCAGCAAGTCAGGCTTAGGAGAGCAGCTTATTCTAGGCCCAAACTCTGATCTTCGTCCAGCCCCCGCGCTGCCGGGTGGGTGTGCGCGGCTGCGCTTTATTTTTTGTGTGGTGCTGGGCCTGAAGCCAGGGCCTTGTGCTGCCAGGCAGGGACTGACCAGCCGAGCTGTGTGCCCAGCTCATGGCTTTGCGTTCTAACTTTGTAATTCTCTACAGTTTCTTCCTTGAGAATCTTTCTCTTTTTCCACCAGAAAGACACAGAATCAAGGAAGGTGTCACTGGCTTTGGGGGCGACTCGGGCAGCTGTCCCCCCAGCTTCTGTCCCTCGTCTCAGCCTCCTTGGCAGCCCCAGAGCCAGGGCGGACCCCGGGCAGGCTTGGAGAGGGCACATACAATGGCTCCCAGAAAGGAGGCTGCCGGGCACCTGTGCCGCTCAGAGTGGTCATCAACCCGGGGCTGGGGTGGCCACGGGGAGCCTGCCCAGCCTGCGCCAGACCCTGGGCTCCATCCCAGCACTGAGAAAAGTGAGTCCAGAAAATAATTGCCTGGGTCCCCAAAGACAGGATCACAGGCCCATCAGGTGGCCCGTAGCCGCCACCAAGAGACCCACCAGCAACCTTCTGGAAAGCAAGCGCGTGCATCCACGCAGGGGAATACAACGCAGCTGTAAAGAAGAGTGAGGCTGCAGAGGCGGGGATGGGCATGTTGTGAAAAGGCAGGTTCAGAGCAGTGTGTGTGTGCATTTATTTTATTTTAATTATTTATTATTATTTCTAAATCATTTATTCATTTTGCAGTACTAGGGTTTTGAACCCAGGGTTGCTCTACCACTGAGCCACGTCCTCAGCTTTTTTAATTTTTATTTTGATATGGAGTCTCCCTAAATTGCTGATGGCTGGCCTTGAACGTGTGATCCTCCTGCCTTGGCCTCCGGAGTAGCTGGGATTACAGAGGGTGACACCCCACCTGGTTCCTATCTCAATTCCATCTGTAAAAAGAAAAGTACCAACATGTCAACAGGAGCCGGCTGCGGTTGGGATGGGAGAGAGTTTCCTTTTTCCCTGATAATTATTTATCATTACGAAACCCTTCAGGCCGACAGAGAGGATATAAAAAGTACCCCCCCCAAAAAAAAAAAGCTGAAGAGGGAAAGAAAGTCCCGGAGAGACACCTGGGCCAACCGGGTCAGTGGGTGGTGGCCTCCCCATGCCCAGAGGAGGAGCCCTGGCCTGCACAGCCCTGGCTTGGGTTTTGGGGCACACTCCTGGGTTTTGGGGCACACTGCTGGCCCCGGGGGCAAGGGGTAGACAGCAAGTGGGAGAGGGGTCTCCCTGCAATACGCCCTCTCCTGGCCCTGGGCCTGGCCTCCCAGCTCCTGGCCTGGCCTCCCGACTGGTCCCCAGGCCTGGTGGAGTGGGGGACCGGGTGCAGGCCGTGCGCTCGCCTGGTGGCTGCGGCCAGGGCTGGGAGCCAGCAGCCGGGGCCTGGGGCCTCCTCACAGCCGCTTTTGATAAAGCCCCTCTGTGCTGGGGGTGGGGGCGGCCGGCTGGAGCCAGCGCACATCTGGAGGCCAACACGGCCAGGCAGCCGGCGGCTGACAGCGGCGCCACCCGGAGCCACATGCCCGGCCCTGGGTAAACACGCCTGCGCCCACCCAGCGGCTCACCTTTCGCCCACAAGGCTGCCTTTCTTCTCGGACCCCGGCCGAGGCTACCACCAACATTCCTCCCGGGCACAGGCAGAACGGCTGGCCGCTGACCTCGAGGCTGGCCGAAATCCGAATCCAGACTCTGACTGCGGCCAAGGGGACCTTGGGAAAGCACCTACTACACCCCAGCAGTTTCAGACACACTGGAGATGGGCGGTTAAGGATGTGTGCTCTGTAACTAGAAGGCCGGGGTTCCAATCCCAGCTCCCACTGTGTGACCTGAGGAAAAATCACTCAGCCTCTCTGAGCCTTATCTGTAAAATGCAGAGAGTAGAGTATAATGTTCTCCGGCTCAAATGGTTATGGATATTAGAGAAGCTGTCATTACAAATTTCTGGGAAGAGTCTCCTCTAGGGGTCCCACTGTGGCCACGTCCCATGCAGAGGGACTCCCTGTGAGGCCTTAGTGCAGCGGCTCTGTGCCCAGAACTAGGGCAGGTGATGACAACAGGGGCTAGGCCTTGCAGAGCAGCGTCCTGTCCTCAGTGAGCAGGAAGGGACCATCGGGGGACCCGAGAGCAGTCTCTCCACCTGGTCCCGCAGCCGCTCCCCTGGAATGAGGCTGCTGCTCAGGGCCCTGGTGATGTCCAGGGGCCTTGGACTCGGCCCAGTTTGGAGACAGGCAGTGTGTGTGCAGGGGGTCAGGCCCCAGTGCCAGCCTGGGGGACGGCAGGCTCAGGTCCTTGTCTTCTTCCTGAGGCAAGAGGGGGGCTCCAGAGTTGTGGGTGGCAGCAGGAGCAGCCGGTCTCCTGGCTCGAGGCCAGGCCAGGCCAGGGCAGCTCCTGAGGCTGGGCTGCATCTTTCACCACGTCTCGCTGTCTCCCTGGCCCTCGGTATCCTCATCTGGGGGATGAGTCCAGTTACCTCCCTGACCTCCATTTCCTCATCTGCAGGAGGGCACAGTACCATCAAGCACCAGTTTGTCCAGCATGGGGGAACTGGGGGTGGCCACTGGAGGGACACCATGCCAGGCACAGAGGAGAGGTCTGCTAGAAGTCAGGGTGGCCTCCTAGAAGGGGCCACTGTGCTGCCAGGTGGGAAGAGGAAGAGACAGAGGGCCACTGAGTACCCGTGGGAGCTCTGGGGAACTGTCCTGGCCCCCAGCAGTACCACAGTCTGCCCTGCCACTGTGCCCACCTTAAGCAGGCGAAGACTGAGGCCCCTGAGCAGCTCCCCACTCAGGCAGAAAAGCCCAGGTGGAGGCCAGAACATGACCCAGTACCAGTCCCCTGGCGCTTGACTTAGCCTGTCCCCACTGTCCCGGGTCGGCTGGAGCCCCTCAGCAGAGCCAATCCCATGCCATCGGGGCCTCCCTGCCTCCCTGCCTCCCTCTCAGGCCTCAGTCTCCCTCTCTGAGCCCAGGGTGAGCCCCGCCGCCTGCTTCGGTCCTCCCTGGGAGGCGCTGGGGGCAGCTGCGGCCGGTCCCTCCACCTGCTGCCCCAGCCCCCAGCCCGGGACCTGCTCGCCAGGCCGGAGCCAGCCGCCATCTGGAGGAGGGCTGTTTATGGAGCCAGGCGGCGGCGGCCCCGGCCCTGACCCGCGGTCTGGAAGCGATTAGCCGCGGGCGGGAGCCTGTGGCCTCCTCGTCGCGGACACCGCGCGCCGGGGTCCCTGAGGCGCCCCCCTGGCAGGCGCTGGGCCACACGCCCCTGGGCCGCGACGTGGGCGTAACGGGCGCAGAGGGGACGCGGGACGCCCCCTCCAGTGTCGCCAGTGCCTCGGGTGCCCCGCCGCAGGCCGCGCTCGGTCTGTTGTTCCTTCTGCCTCCCTCCCGCCCGCCTGTCCCCCAGGGTCACTTCCGGCCCGCGTCCCGGGAGCCAGAGTCGCCACCGCAAGGCTGCGGCCCCTGCGCCCCCTGCGCCCACCAGCCCCCCACCCCGTGCAGCGAGCCAGTCCCCGGCGACCTCCTGCCCGACCCACCGCAGAGCTGGCCGCGGGGCACCGGCCGCCCCTGCCCGCTCCGACGGGAGGCCCCCTGCCCGCTCGGAGGGGAGGCCGGAGGCCGGGGAGGGGCTCGCAGGACCCGTGCTGGGGACCCCGGTGCCGCGTCATCTGGGTCATCTGTGTCACCTGCGGTGCTGGGAGTTCCACTCCCAGAAGGGCCTGGGCAGCCCTGGGCGGGGCCGGGCCTCTGTCCTCCGCGGGAGGTGGCCCTGCCTGGCTGCCATCTCCAGGGAGCCCCATGGGCAGGTCAGCGGGCGGCTCTCTAAGCCTCCTCAGCTGGGGGCTGGACGCTGTCCCGCGGGCCTCCCCACGTCCAGCCTGGCCTCTCGTGTGTGTTCCCACAGGAGCCGAGCAAACCTGGTAAAAGCTGAATGGAGCAGGCGCAGTCATCCCAGGGCTCCGGAGGACGGGGCGGGAGGGTCGCGAGTTCAAAGTCAGCCTCAGCAGTGAGGCGCTAAGGAGCTCAGTGAGACTCTGTCGCTAAAGAAAATGCAAAATAGGGCTGGGATGTGGCTCAGGGGTCGAGTGTCCCTGGGTTCAATCCCTGATCCCCCCCCCCCCCAAAAAAAGCTAAATGGAATCTGGCCTGCCCTGACTCACCCCAGCCACCTGTACTTCAGGGACAAGGGGACCCGCCCCTCCCCTCCCCTGCAAGCAGACTGGGATCCCACTGGGCTGTACCTGTCACAGGCTGCCTTCACCCCTCCCCAGAATGCCAGCCCGCTGAGGACGGAGGTCTTGCCTGTCACTCACTCCTGTGTCCCTGCATCTTAGGGCAGAGCCTGGCGCACGCTGGTGCCCACAGCCAGTTGGTGAATGTGCACGAGTGCGTCCCTGAGGACCCTGAGCAGAAGGGAGGACCCTGGGAAGAGGAAGAGAGAAGGTCTTATAAAGCGCCTACTGTGTGCCGCGGACCCTTCTCACTCCCATCACCTGCAGGACTCACACAGGTGAGGAAACGGAGCACCCGCCTCGGATGCACAGAGCCTCCTCTCTCCAGGGCTGCAGTGACAGTGACAAGGAGCTGGGCATCTGTCGGGTGTCAGGCTGACAGGGAGGCCGTGCCTCCAGAGGGGCGGGCAGTGCTCAGCTTGGCCACACGGCCCCCCGGTCAGCCTGGGGCCTGGGGGGGTCCCTTCCTGGGTGTCAACAGGACATGACAGGGACGCTCAGGAGCAGCTCTGTGCCTGCCAGGCTCCCAGGGCCTTCTGCAGACACGCCCCTGACCCTAGCTTGTCCCTCCAAGGGAAGCTGAGGCTCACCCGGTGTTGGTGTGGCCAGGGACACGCAGGCAGCCGGGAAGGAGCACTATGACACCAGATTCGGGATGAGGTCACCTTTCGAGGAGGGAGGGGCTGCCCGTGGGGGAGGGCACGTCCGCCACATCCTCCCTTGGAGGTGGGGCGCGGCTGCTCCAGCTGCCTTCTGAACCTTTCTGCAAGTTGAAAATCATAGTCCCCAACAGCAAGTGGCCGCAGAGCCACATCACACAGAGTGACTAACAGTGGACACCGGCCAGCCTTCAGCCAACCCTGATGCTGAAGCCAGCTGGGCGTGAGGCCCCTCCCTGCACCCCTCAGTCTCCGGCCCGCCCATCTCAGTGACGCAGCTGTGGTGGCGTTTGGCAAGTGGGGCTGCCCAGGGTGACAACAGCCAGGCTCCCTCCGGCCCGCCAGCCCCTCCTCGACCCTACCTTGCATCCTGGTGCCATCACCATGGTTTTGCAAGTGTGTTCAGTGACCACAAAGTCAGGTCCTGTCTGTGTTGGTCACGGCCCTCCCAGGACTAGTACACAGTTGGTGCTCAATAAATGTCTGCAGGATGAGCCAACCAGAGCTGAGCAGAGCAACTGCGAACTGCGCTGGCTTATTCCACCCCGTCCCCGCCCTCCCTCCCAGGTAGTGACTGAGCACCTACCAGGCGCCAAAGTCCCTGACCCCCGGAGCCGAGTGGTGCCGCGACCCCAGGGAGCAGGTGCAGACGGGCAGCTGCAGAGGGGGCGGGGGAGGGTCCCATGCCACCTCCCAAGAGCGGGGAGGGGGGCGGCTCACCCACACCTTTATGCAGCAGGGGACGCACGGGTTACCAGGCACAGACTGGGGACCTGTGGGGACCTTCAGGGAGCAGGAAACACGCTGTGAAAGAGGAGACCCTTGGTGCTGAGCAAGTGCAGGCCGGCCTCGCCCCTCAGCCGGGCAGGTCCTGAGGAAGTGAGCTGTGCCCTTGCCGGGACCCTACCGGCGGATCCAGAGCCTGGGAGGAACAGCGTCCCCTTCCTGGCAGGGCACAGCTGGCCAAAGGCCGGACGCGTCACCCCGCCCCTGGAAGCTGGTGGCTGGGTGGAAACGCCCTGCCTTGGCTGTGTCCCCTGGGGAAGGTGCTCCAGGCAGGCTGCCTCGACTCAGCGAGCCTCAGTGTCCTCATCTGCAAGGGGCACAGTGATGCCCGGCCTGCCCAGTGGGCAAGAGGACATCTCTAGGGCCCTCCCTTACCCTGGGTCCTCAGGATCCCTGGAAACCACCGTCTCTGGGACTGGGGTGGGAAGGAGATGACGGGGGCAGCCCAGACTCCTCAGCTCCAGACCCTGAGTCAGGGGACCCTGAGGGCCTTGGCAGGAAGTGACCCGGAGCCTCACGTACAACGGAAGGAAACTGAGGTACTCGCAGGCTCAGGCTGCCAGCCGCTGTGCTACGCCTCAGCCCAGGCTCCACGGTGTCCTCCAACAGCCCCAGGGGAGCAGGCAAGGCCGACTCGGAGACGGAGACGCAGCTGGAGGCCACAGCACCAGTTAATGGGGAGCAGGCGGCAGCTGACCAGAGCAGGCGGCTTAGGCCTGTCCCCTGCAGGAGGAGGAGGATGGACAAGGGGCCTGGGTCAGCTCCACGTTCAGCCCCCTGGGTGGCCCAGGGCAGCTTGCAGAAGCCCAGCCCAGCCCCGCCCAGCAACCTGCAGGTACCAGGTCCAGCCAGAGAGGACGCCAGGCCAGCCACCAGGCAACAATAAACGTGAGCGGGTTAAACGGGTCTGTTAAAAGCAGAGACTCTCACATTAGACCAAAAACCAAATGAATATGTGCTGAACCATCTGTTCCAGGTCCCGTTTTAGATTCTCATGGCAGGGCTGGGGAGGAGGCGCCACCATAGAGCACGTGCCCAGCGTGCAGGGGGCCCTGGGTTTGATCCAGCCACCCCGCCCCCCACCCAGATCTCACCTGTTCAGGAAGGGGATCCGGGAGAGTCCTGCGGTGTGAGGCCTGGATGGAGCCTGAGGAGTGGAGACACGGGGCCTGGGGTAGCTGGATAACAGGTGCCCCAGAGCGCAAAGTGGACAGGCCTGCGGCCAGGACAGGCAGGTCAACGTGGACATGAGCTGGGTCTGGTTTGTCCAGAGCTGAGGGCAGCCACTGATCCTGGCTCTCCCAGCGACCCCCAATGGACTATGGGCCTTCCCAGCCAGGGGCCTTCCTCCTGCCCCAGAGGCCTCAAGGTGGCCGACCCCAATGTCCCCACTGGGAAGAAGACCCACCAGGAGTGACTGGTGCCAGGCGCTGACGCTTCATCAAGTTCTGTGGTCAGGTTGGGTTCTCTTCTCTTTTCATTTCTGGGTGTGCGTGTGCTCGTGTGTGTGTGTGTGTGTGTGTGTGTGTGTGTGATCACGGGGGATTGGAACTTCATCCCCAGCCCTCCCCTTTGGTCTTTCACCAGGGATCGAACGTGGGGAGCTAACCTCTGAGCCACTCCCCAGCCCTTTTTATATTTTATTTAGAGGCAGGGCCTCCCTGAGTTGCTGAGGCTGGCCTCGAACGTGCAGTCCTCCTGCCTTAGCCTGCCACGTACGTCACCAGGATCACATGCCTGTGCCACCACACCCAGACTCAAGTTCGTTTTTTCCCATTTTACAGATAATAAAACTGAGGCTCAGAGAGACGAGGGATCTGCCCAGGGTCACAGATCCAGTGCAGGGCTGAGTTTGAACTCAGTGTACTGGACACTGTCCTTGTGGCTGACCGCACCTTGGAAGTGGCAGAGACCACAGAGACTGGAAGATAGCTGGTGGGGTCAGCGGCGGGCCCTGGTGACCCCACCCTTGGGGCAGTGGCTTCAGTGCTGAGCAGGCAGCTTCTTATCGGGTCTGTGGTGAGCCATTGACAGAGGAGGAGACAGGCTCAGAGTGGGGAGGTGACCATCTTGGTCGTGGCCTGAGCCCTCCCGTGGGCCTGGCACTGGGTGTGTTCAGTGAATGGTGACCCCCTAGGAAGGGCCAGCTGAGGAGGTGGAGACCTGGGTTGGGGTGGGAACAGGACCAGGGACACCAGGGTAATCAAATGGACAGTGGGCCTGGGACCCAGGACTTGGGGCTCCTGGCCCTGCCCCTCATGGCGCTCCAGACATTCCTGAGGGGCCTGGGCCGTGGGAAGACCCTGCGTCTATCTCATCAGGCCTCACGGAGGTCCTGCCCCAACCAACAGGAAGTGCCAGGCAGACCCCACCCCCACCAGGCTGTGGGAAGCGCTGGGACTGCAGGGCTCCCAGCTCGTGCAGCCTCAGTGGGGCTGTGTGACCTTGGGCCAGGCCTTTGCCCTCTCTGGGCTTTGCTCTCCCCATTTCTAGTCACAGGCTCCAGGACAGAGATGCTGTGCCACCTCTGGATGTGTGACCTTGGGCAGTGGCCGGGCCCCTCTGAAGCCTAGCTCCCTCTTTTGCACCTGGGGGACAGTGCCCACACCTGGGGGACAGTGCCCACGGTGCATGCTCTCTCCTGGGAGCCAGGGTCATCCCACTCAGAGCGTCCGGAGTGACCTCGGGGCCCTCTGGCAAGGCGCCAGCTTCCTGGGCTCAGGACCACGCGGCTCTCTCCCCGCCTCACTCCCCTCCGTGAAGGAGGCAGAGCCGGGATCTGGGCCACATCTGTGTGGCCCTGGGGATCCTCTGGCAGGAGCAGGGAGGTGGCGGGAGGTGGCGGGACCCTGCACAGGACCTACAGCTGCGGCTCCTGGTCAGTGTCTCCTTCCTGTGAGGGAAGACAAGCTGGACGTGGCAGAGGGAGACGGTGGTCAGGACTGGACCCCACCTCCTGGGGGCATGCAGAGCGCTAAGTGGGGACAGGGTGGCGGGAGGTGGGCCTGGAGTGTGGGTGCTGTGGCTCCGTTCCCTCTTTAGGGTCCTCCAAGCGAAGAAGCTGTGCTCTAGGTGTCGGCCTTCTGGGCCTGGTCCCCACACCTTCCCAGCCGGAGCCGTCTCAGCAAGCCACAACCCCACGGAGGTGGGTGAGCCTGGAAGATCAGAGAAGCTCAGCGACTTGCCTGAGGTCACACAGCAGTGTGGCAGATGCCTCCCAGGCCTTCCCTGGGAACCTCTGAAGTCCCAAGTGTGAGTGGAAGGAAGCCACCTGCCACTTGCATGCTGGAGGCATGAGTCCCAGACCCTGAAGAAACTTGGGGAAAGTCAGACACCAGGGAGATCCCTCTGAGGGCTGGCTTCCATTTGGGGGCGTTGGTGCAGGATGCTCCCTGGGCAGAAAAGGGAGGCAGGCTCTGGGTGCACCCCAGGGGGGGCGGGAGGCCCCACAGGTAAAGCAACACCCAGAGCACGGCCTGGTGAAGTGGGGTGCTATTGCCACCGTGGAGCACCCCTGTAATCCCAGCGGCTTGGGAGGCTGAGGCGGGAGGATCACAAGTTGAATGTCAGCCTCAGCAACTTAGGGACACCCCGTCTCTAAATAAAATATGAAAAGGGCTGGGGTGTGGCTCAGTGTTGGGCGCCCCTGGGCTCAATCCCTGGTACAAAACCACAAAACTCAGTCTCCTCATCCGTAAAGTGGGGGCGAGTCCCTTCCCAGAGGTCCACTGAGGACTCCCGAGTCGCCTCCGTCAAGCACCTGCTGGCACCTGGCTTCCTGCCTTCGCCGCCGTCGCGGCACCGGAGCAGAGGCGTTGGCCCTGGGAGCCTCAGCGGCTGCCTTCTCCCCTGTTGGGACTGGGACGCTGGACAAGTGCCGCAGGCCACAGCGCCTGCCTCCCAAGACCTGGTCCCTTCAGGCCGTCCCCACAGACCCCCGAGCCCTAGTGTCTCAGGACCTGGGGGTACAGGTCCTGCGGGGTCTGCGTGTGGGTTGGGCGTGCAGGGCACGGGGGCAGGGGACTGGACGTTATGGGTAGGACAGAAGCTGGGGAAGAAGCAGAGGAGGGTCTGACCCAGTTTCTCTGCCAGGTGTGGACTCGAGCAGGGGTGGGGACGGGGCCCAGGACGAGGCCACTGGAGGGGCAGGCCGACAAGGCTGGTGGGAGGCAGGCAGGGCGAAGCCTGGGCCCTCCCGTCCCCCTCAAGCTGAGGCCTGTCCCGAGCGGCAGCCGAGGAACGAGGCTCAGAGAGAGCTGGTGAGGCCAGGAGGCCCCAGGGCCTGGGCTGAGGTCACCTTGGGCTTCTTGCCCAGACCTGCCCTCCTGACGCTGTAGTTGGGCAGGTGTGGGGACGCACTCCTCCACCCAGACCCCTGGTGAGCTTCATGTCCCTGAGAGCATGGACAAGCCACCAGCCTTCGCCAGGAGGGTGCCGCGGCGCACGCCTGTGCCTGTGAGCCCATCTCCTGGGGAGGCCGAGGCAGGAGGATGGCAAGTTCAAAGCCAGCCTCAGCAACTTAGTGAGGCCTGGGCCGCTCAGTGAGACCCGTCCCTAAAGAAAATACAAAAGGGCTGGGGACGCCCCGGTCTGGTCCCTGGTACCATCTTCATAAATCATGACGATGAAGTGCCATGGCCTGTGGCCTAGGTGCCACCATCAACCCGTCGTGGAGCTGGGGACAGAGGCTTGCACTTGGAGGAAGCTGAGTCGGCACCGGGGCCTCACGGTGGCCAGACTGGGCTCGGAGCCGCCAGGCCTCGGTCCCAGGTGGAGCGCCGGCCTCTTGGCCTCCCTGTGGGCGGGGCGGGCGGTCCTGGGTCCATTCAGCGCCCCCAAGACGCGAGCCTCAGGACCCTGCCCGGCCACGCAGAGCCCTGCGCTGGCCTGGGGAGGCTCCGCGTCCCAGGAGCTGGCCTGGGGCCCTGCAGACCCGCCGCTTTGATCAGCTTCGGGGCTGTTTGTGGAGCGGGCCCCGCCCCCCTGCCACCCGGCTGGGTCTCGTCACCGGCACTTGGAATATTAGCTGTCCCCGAGAGCCGCTGCAGGCCCCGGGCCCACTTCCTGCAGCCCACGCCCTGACCCTTGGCCTCTGCCCTGGGAACAGGCCCTGGGGGCCTCTGGTGACTGCCAGCAAATGCAAATGAAAGCCCAGGCCCCCGGGTCCTGGCCCCGAAGTGGCCGCGATCCACCCAGCCTCCCCAGGGTCCGGCGGGTGCTCTGGCCACCTCCCCAGAGACGCCTCCCTGGCCCTTCCAGCAGCCCCACCCCCATCCCCTGTGACAATCCTGCCCCGCCGCCCCTCCCTGCCTGGAGTCCCGCACCCCTGTCACCTGCTCACCCCTCCCCAGCACCCACTGGCCTCTGGCACACAGAAGGCGCTCAATAAATAACGTGAAAGGCCAGCTCTGGTGGGGACCAGCCCGCAGGGCCACCCGCCTGACTCCAGCCTCAGGAGCCTCCGGCCTGGAGAGGGGTCAGCCCCCAGGAGCAGGACCGGGTCCCCTGCCCAGGCCCCTTGGTGGGTCCCCAAGGCCCCCACTGCCCCTCCAGCCCCCACCCTGCCAGTCACACCTGCATGGACGGCCCTGACCGGGAGCTGCCCGCACAGGTGTCCGACCAGACGGGCCGGTTCGGGGCGTGTGGGGGCTTTTGCCCAAGGGCCTGCTCGGGGTGCCAGGGCCACCTGCCTGCACCTGCCTGCACCTGCCACTCAGGCCACAAGCCCCGCCCCACAGGCCCGTGTCCTCCTCCCGCTGGGTGCTCTCTGACCTGGGACAGGTGCACTGCTGGGCCCAGCAAGGACAGCAGCAGCAGGCGGGGCTGGCCGGCCTCCCTCCAGCAGCCTCCTCCCCATGGCCAGCTGGGGACCTGCGAGCTGGATGCCTGGTGGGGGTGTGCAGACCGGCACCTGCTGGGGTGGGCCACTCCCTGCTCACCAAGGATCCTGGAGGCAGCTGGCCAACAGATCCCTGTTCTAGCTGAGGCTGTGGAGGTTTAGAAACAGAGAGGGCAGGACACTTGACCAGAATCACACAGCAAGCAGGATTCAAACCCCATTTGTGTTTTTCCTGTTTCTCCAACAGGTCTCTCCCTAGGGAGTAGATGCTGCTTCAGTCTTTGCTGAAAACCTACTATGTGCCAGGCATTTAGCCAGGCCCATGCTCAGCAGACAGGGACCGGCAGAGCCCTGCACGAGGTCAGGGGATGGCATGGATTAGAAGGACACAGCCTCTGGAGCTGACCTCCCAGTGGGGGACACAGAACCCACCAGCAGAGGCGAACAGCGGTGAGCCAGGACAGGATGCGGCTGGCCCGCGGAGCTCCCCAGGAGCAGCGCTGGGGGGAGGCCTGGAGGAGGAGGGGTCACCATGAGAGGAGAAGGAGGGAGCCGCAGGGTAGGGGGAAGGCAGGGGGGCAGGGAGGGTGCCCACAGCCAGGAGGACACCGGCCTCCGGCTTCCCTTCTGCAACCTGGGCCTGGGAGGAGCCGGGTCCTCGGCCCCTCCTGCTCTGGAGGCCTTGCTGGGCCTCTCCCCGAGCCCAGAGGCCAGGCAGGGAGGGAAATGGGAGCTGGAGCCGGAGCCGGAGCCGGAGTGGGGGGACTGCATCCTGGTCAGTGTCCCCTGTGACCTGGCCTCAGCGCTCTTCCCACTGCTCAGGCAGGTGGCACGGCCTCGGAGCCCCGGCTGGCGCTCAGCAGAGCTGGGTGGCAGCGCTGGCCTGGGGCAGGCACGGGGTAGCCCAGTGGGAGCTCAGACCTGCAGGGTGCTGCCGGCCCAGAGCCCCAGAGCCTTCAGTGCCCCTGAGATTCAGAGCAAGGAGGCACCAAGGCTAGTCACTGCCCCCCAGATGGGAGCCTGGGGGAATTCAGATTCCCAGCATCCAAACTACCCTACCTCACAGAGAGGGTCAGAGAGGGCGAGACACTGGTCTGAGACCACACAGCTGGAAAGGAAAGTAGGCCTCTTAGACTTGCACCCAGCTCTGGCAGACTTCAGCTTCTTCCTCTCAGCCACAGCAGCCTCCCCACAGCCCATTCTTTCATTTTTGTGTCCAAACAGCCCAGTGAGGTCAGTACTTGCCCTGGGCCTATTGCACTGAAGAGGATACAGGCTCAGAGAAAAGTAACTTGTCAGGACTTTTGCAAATTTATTCAGATTCTTATTGAGCACCTACTAATTGCCAGGCCAAAGTAGATGGACAGAGAGAGCAGAAAAAAAATAAGCCTAACTTTTGTGACTCCCCACTACCCCATGGAAAGGGCACGTTAAATCTTCCAAGAAGTGATGCGCACTAAGCTCTACGGACAGGCTTGGGTTTCAACACCAGTAGTCACTTGCTGGCTGTGCAGCCTTGGGCAAAATACTTAACCTCTCTGTCTCTCAGTTTCCTCATATATAAAATGGGAGATGACGTAACACCTACCTTACAGGGTCGTGCACAGCGCCCTGCTGGCACATGGGCTCTCTCAGCTCCTGTCGGCTGCTCTCTCATGACCTCAGTGTTGAGTGAGCCACGCCCTCAGCTAGATCCGATGTATCTGTGTCTTTCCGTGATTTCAGTTGTGAACGACAATGAAACTCACCCGCTGTGCCACTTTCATCAGCAATAATTCACCGAGTACCCCTGGCTCACCTGGCAGCCATGATCAGGGCCATCACAGGTTCCTTTATCCTTCAATCTTAATCACCAAGACCCATACCGCCAAGTCCCACGCCATGCTTCACAGTGAGACAGACAGACAGACGTTACAGAAAGTCTAAGAAAGGGCTCACCGTGGCCAAGGAGGCAGTTCTCAACTGGGGAGACAGACACCTACCTATCGTCTCTGCAACTTGGAGGCCCAGGCAGGAGGCTCACAGGTTCAAGGCCAGCCTCGGCAACCTACCAAGAACCTACCTAAAACAACAAGGGCTGGGGTGTGGCTCAGTGGGAGCGCATCGCCCAGCAGGTGCAAGCCCTGGGATCCCCCAGCGCATGCCACAGTGGGGGACACTGCCGGGAGCAGGGAGGGCCACAAACACAGGGTCCCCGCAGGTGGTCAGCTGGGCGACAAGCCACCAAGCTGGACAGCAGGCAGTTTCGAAACGGGCCACGTCAGTCAGGGAGATAGAGCTGGGCTGGAGCCCCGGGGACAGAGTCAGGAGTTGGTGGCCTGTCACTCTGTGACGCGCTTGCTGGATGGTCTGATAAGAGGCTGGGTCAGCGTGCCACTGACCGCAGTCCCAGGTGCCTCCCTTTACATGTTCTGGGGGAGGGTGGGTCGCCCGTGGGCTGCCGTGTCCGCAGCACGCCCGCCACCACGTGCCTCTGATCTCCTCTGAGAAGTTCAGGTGGCCACTGTCCCGACGTGATTGGTCCATTTATCCACGGTGCCTGACATTGTGCTGGGCAGGGAGGCTCTTCTCTCCAAGAAGTCCTGGGTGTCGAACCTGGTGGCGATCTGTGCCTGGACACGTCACCACTCCTTCCGCCTGAGCACTGGGGCTCAAAACAGGTCAGCTGACAGGGCGCACTGCGTGATCCTAGCAGTTTGGGAGGCCGAGGCAGGAGGATGCCGAGTTCGAAGCCACAGTCAGCAATTGAGGGAGACCCTGACCGACTTAATGACAGCCTTAAAATAAAAAGTAAAAAGGAATGGAACATGGCTCAGTGGGAAATCCTCTGGGTTCAATCCCCAGTACAAAAAAAAAAAAAGAGTAGTTTAGGGCAAATGGCTACTTTATATACTTTTGAAATGGAAAACCCCAGCAGGCAGAGCCTGCTCTCCATATTCCTGTGTATCTGGAAACTGGGGACACAGAAATGACAGAGATGACACAGTCATGCCCCCGTGGGGGTCTGGGATTCTGACTCCCAAGACGTCAGCTATGGACCTGTTTCCAGGACCCCTCCTCCGGGAAGCCCTCCACGCGGCCCTGGCTGCCAGAACCGGCCTCCCTCGGAGACCCTCTCGCCGACCCTCACACCCAGCTGCTCCAGCCAGGGAGCCCGGGCCGCTGGGCTGGGGCTGGCAGGGGCCCAGACACTGTCGGGGCGTCTCGTCCAGAGAGATCCTGGAGACACAGGAGACGGGAGGGTGCAGACAGGACAGTCCCTGCCTGGGCAGGCCCAGCTCCTCACCAGGCCTGGCCAGGGGGGAAGTGAACACAGGCGGGGGCCTTGGGACTCCTCTAGGAACATGGCACGCACCAACCTGTGACCCCACTGACCAGCAGAAACCCTGGACGGGAGGCCAAGGACCAAGCCAGCTCCGAGGGTCAGAGAAGGCTGGCTCGACCCCTCGGGGTTTGACAGTGTCCTCAGCCACAAGATTCCCAGCAAACTGCAGGCCTCCTGTTTCCCTGGTGAAGCCCACTCTCCTCTCCCGGCCGCCCCCGTGCCCGACTGCCTCCGCTCGGTCCCTGGACCACCTGCCCTGCACCTGCAGGCGCTGCCGTCACCTGACCCTCCTAGGCGTGGGGAATAGGGCAGCTGTGGGGCTCCAGGAAGGACCGGCCCCCAGAGCAGCCCTGGGGCAGTGCACTTCACACCCTCTGGCTGGACGAACATCCCCTCTGACCACGGCAGGGTCTGCTGACTGGCCCCGGGCCTCTGTGCCCCCAGGCCTCTGCCCAGGGGTCTGCACCTTGCATATTTTGCAGATGAGTGTGAGTCTGTGGGCTCTGGGCTTTGGGGCCGTGCGTCTTGACTCGGCCTTCTCCTGGCTGTGTGGTCCTGAGCGGGGCCACCTCCGCTGTCCAGATTCATCCATGAGACCAGGTGTGGGCCCGCAGCAGAGCAGATCAAGAGGAGCCTCCCCGAGTGACATGAGGTCACGTCCCGGCCATGCGTGGACCTTTGGTCCTCACACAAGGATGAGGAGCCAGGGCACAGACGTTGAAGTGCGTGGCCAGGGCCACCTGGCCAGGAAGGGCAGGCCAAGACTTTTGGGGTTTGTTTTGTTTTGCTCGGGCCCTAGGATTTGAACTCACCACTGAGCCACATCCCAATTCCTTTCTTTTCTTGTTTTCTTTGTTTTTTAATTTTGAGACAGGTGCTCACTAAATTGCGGAGACTGGGCCAAACTTGCAATCCTCCTGACTCAGCCTCCTGAGTTGCTGGGATTCCAGGCTTGCACCACCCAGCTCAGCGAGGGGTCTCCTTTTAACCTAGATTAAATCCCGAGTGGTACGAAACCTCTGCCTGAAGAACTGGGGCTGTGGCTCAGTGGTGGAGTACTCGCCCGCAGCCCTGAGGCTTGGCTCTGGGTTCAGGCTCCCAGCTGCAAACAGACAACAGAAACCCTGCCCGAGTGGGGCGCAGGGCGCAGGCCCGGGATCCCTGCAACTCAGGAGGCCAGAGCAGGAGGATGGCAGGTTCAAAACCAGCCTCAGCAACTTGTTGAGGCCCCTTCTCAAAATCAAATATAAAAAAGGACTGGGGAGGGGCTGGGGCTGGGGCTCAGTGGCAGAGCGCTTGCCTGGCGCGTGCGAGGCCCTGGGTTCAATTCTCAGCACCACATAAAAATGAATGAATAAAAATAAGGTCCATCAACATCTTTAAAAAAATAAAAAATAAAAGAAAGGGTGACATTGTTGATTTTTAAGACATCAACATCTTAAAAAATAAAAGAGGTGGCTCAGAGGTAGAGCACCCTGGGTCCAATCCCTGGTACCAAAAAAAGGAGAGAGAGAGAGAGAGGCCAGCTGCAGAGGAAGTGCGCGAGAGAGGGAGGCAGAGAAGAGGTAAGGACGGCAGAGGCCGCTGCCCGTGACCCGGGGGAACAGGGACCCCCTCAGGCACCGCAGGGCCCCCTCACCTCTGACCTGGGGACCCTGTCTGAAGGCTGCCCTGGGACCTGGGCCCCCACCCTGCCAGGCCCTCCCCCGGTCTCCCTCCTGCCAGGTTGACAGCAGGAAGCTGTGACTCAGGAGCCTGGCCTCCTCCTGCCAGGACTCAGCCGCTGGGCTGCAGCCAGTGTGGCCAACCTCCAGTCCTGCCTCGGCCGGCACCTCCCTCCACAGAACGGGACCCTGGGAGGGCGCGGGAGGGTGGGGGCTGGAGTTGGCTGGAGCCGACAGACCCAGCGATTTCCCAGGGACCCCACTTGCAGGAGGGGAGGCCCCAGACCCCCTCGATGCTGACACCCCTCCAGCCCCAGAGCTGGGGTCCCCCTTCCTCACCAACGCCCAGCCCCACACACGGCCAGGAAGACCCGGGACTCAGGACACAGGTCACCTCCTGGGACGAGTGCCCCCCACTCCCTCCGGGAACCTCCTCAGATCATCCGGGGACTGGACATGGTTTCTCTCTCGGCTTCCCAGGGGAAGGAACAGAGGTTCAGAGTGGGCTCCGTCCCGATCCTGACTGCACTCTTCAGCTGTTTACCCTTGGGCAAGTGTCCCCACCTCTCTGGGCCTCTGCACTCGGTACGACCTTCCAGGCTGGGTTCTGAGTGGCTCCGTCAGTGCGCCGTCCCCCCAGCACACTGCTGGGCCCTCAGCTGATGCCCAAAGATGTCCCCACTGTCCTCCGGAGCCTGGTCTGTGCTAAGTCTCAACAAAGAGGCCTGGGGACGCACCCGCCATACCCACATGGGAATCTCGCCCTGGAACTTCTGCCACCCTGTCTCAGGGACGAATTATATCCTGATCTCTGTCACCCACTGAGCCGCGCAGTGCAGTCCTGGGGAATTAGCCCCGCCAGCCGGCCCTCCTCGGGGTCCAGGCAGTTTCGGAAAACTAGGGGCCTTTTTCGGATCCGGGTCATCCAGGGCAGCGTGGGCTTGCGATTTGCAAGGTGGACGCCACCACTTTCCAGCTCTGTGGCCCTCCGAGCCCTTCTGTCCCCAGCCCCACAACCCAAGCCCTCGGGCTCTCAGCACTAGAGGGCCGTCCTCTGCGACAGACAAATCACAGCACCGCTCAGCTTTTACCCCTGGAACCACCCTTTGATGGGGACAGAGAGGCCCAGAGAGGTGGACACACTGCCCAATGTCACACAGCCAGGAAGGGGCAGAAAAGGGCTGGGGTCCAAGAGAAGGTGACGTGGAAACTGGCTGTCCCCCCCCAGCTCCCCTGCTGGGGACGAGCGGAGAGGCTGAGCCTGGATGGGGACTGGCCTTTCCTGTCCCCTCGTCCTGCCGCGAGCTCAGCTCATGCGCACAGCCCTCTGGGCCCAGGGTCCCCATCTGCAGAATGGGGCAAAGCCGCGCCTCCCTCTTAGGTCCTGCTGAGAGTCTGCCCCAAGACCCCAGAGGCTTTAAAAGGTGTCCCCGGAGTCGCCCCAGCCCCCGCGGCTCTGTCCTCCCGCGGACCCAGAATAGCCAGGAGATGCTCTTCCAGACACGTGGCCTGGGCCGCGCCCCAGAGGCGATCCGTGGCACGTGCCCTGTCCCTGTCCGTAAGGTGGCACCTCTCAGCAACTCCAGCTGCTGGCTGGAGGGGGACGCACCAGGGCTCAGGGCTTCCTCGGGGAACTAGGTGGCAGTCAAGGTCTTGCATGCTGCGAAGGGGACCAGGGGACCTGACCGCGAGTCTCACCACAAGAGGGGAAAGCGCTCGGCAGGTCCGGACACACCGAGCAGCCGTGGCAGCCAACAGGACTGTGGCGCTGTTCAGGGGACGCCTGTCACGCTCGGGTGTGGCATCCAAGGCAGACGTCACGCCCATCTCCGCTGCCATCCCCCACAGGGCCCGCAGTGTCCTCGTGGCCCCCACACATTCTGCACCCCGTGGGGGGCGAGGGAGACTCTTGACAGTGTCATTGTGGGGAAAGAGAGATGACGCCGTCCCATGCGCTGTGGAGAGCAGGGAGCACTCCGGGTAAAGCAGGGGTGAGTCTGGCCACGGTCACCAAGGAAGCTCTCCAAGGAGGTGACACCCGCAGAGTTTGAAGAGGGAAAGGGAGGATCCAGGTGGCTCCTAAGTGGGACCTCCCCAGCTCTGCCTCGGGGCCTTTACGCCTGATGTTGGCCTGACTGGGAACACTTCCCCACAGGGCCCCGAAGGTGCCCTTCTCACCTTTTGGGTCTCTGTTCAAGGGAGACAGAACCCCTACAGCCCTGCCCGGGCACCTCCCCTTTCATCTATTTCCCTCTTAGTACTTTTCCCACCCAAAATTATCTTCCTTAGGAGTCCATTATCTGCCTCCCCATTAGACCTCAGCTCATGAGGGCCAGGCTTAATGTCTGGCTTGTTCTCTGGGTCACCCCCTCGGCCATTCCTAGAACAGTGCCTGATGGCATACAGTAGGCGCTCAAGTCAAATACACCGTTAACAGATGTGCAGCAGCCGAGGCGAGGAGGTGAGTGGAGAGGAGGCTCAGGCCCCGACAGGAGCTCAGACTCCCCAGGGCTCCAGGGCCTCACTCCAGGCACCCACTGGGTGTCAGCGAGGCCCTGCTTGGTGAGGCCGTGGGGTAGGAAGGAGGCCAGGAGGCCAAGAGGCCCGTCCGGTCCCACCTGTCCCCTCTTCACTGTGCAGGTGTGTGGTTTGGTTCGGGGCCTGGGAGTTGAACCCAGGCTTTACCACGGGGCCACACCCCAGCCCTTTCCACTTTTGGAGACAGGACCCACTAAGCTGCCAGAGCCTTGCTAGGCTGCCCGGGCTGGCCTCGAGCGTGATCCCCCTCCTCAGCTCCTGAGTCACCAGGGTTACGGGCGCGGGCCACCCCATCTGGCTGCCCCCTTCTCCATGATGCCCCCTCCAGCCATGAGGCGAGGCTCTGCCCACCCAGTCCCCAGCCACACTCTGACGCGCCACCTCCGGCCCCGGTGACTCACAGGGACTTTCCCAACAGGTGAGGGCTCAGGAAAGCGTGGCCGGAAGCAGGGTCCCTGAACCTGCCATCCTGAGGTGAGAGAGGTGACAGCCCATGGCACAGGAGGCTCTGCCGGAGCCCCCCCCACTCCCTGGCACCCCAGCCCTCAGCCAGGAGGCACACCCCAGGGCCCCGGGCAGGTGGACCACTGCCCTGCGCCTCTGTGCCCTCCTGGGCAGGACTCTTGGCCCACGGGGCTGGTGGGAGAGAAGTGGGGCCGAGCGCCGGACGCCCCCCAGGGGCTGGCCCCACATTGCACAGGACATACTCACACTGTCCACACCCGGGACACGCTCACACTCATAGGACGCGGCATATACTTACCCTGAGGAAGTAGCTGTTGTTCATCTGAAATTCGTATTTCACTGGGCGTCCCGGGGCCTTCTGTGGTTGGTACCGGGATTGAAGCCAGGGGCCCTCCCCGACCGCTGAGCCACGCCCCTAGCCCCCCCTCCGTGTGTGTGCGTGTGTGTGTGCGTGTGTGTGTGTGTGTGTGCATGTGTGTGGGGAGGGGGGCTGGGGATCGAACCCGGGGCCTCATGCACGCAGGGAAGTGCTGTACCAACTCAGCTCTGTCCCCAGCATCACCCTTTTTTGAGACAGGGTCTCACTGAGTTGCTGAGGGTGGCCTTGAACTTGGGATCCTCCTGCCTCAGCCTCCCGAGCTGCTGGGATTAGAGGTGGGCACGCCCACCCGGCTCCGGGGCTCTTTTGGTGGCTGGTGATCTGGCCCTTGCTGACTCTGGCGGCCCTCATCTGGGGACACAGATGTCCCGCAACCTTCCGCAGCAGAAAGAACGAAGACCGGGAGAGTGCGCAGTGCGCAGGCGCGGGTGCCGGACGCCACCGTCGCCGCGGCCCGGTCTTCTCCCTGCGGCTCCCCCGAGTCCGGCCTCGGCTCGGCCGGCGGCCCGCGGCCCCGGGAAGTGACTCACCGGCGGCGTCCAGCTTCCAGGCAGCTCCGCCTCCACGTGCTCCGGAGCCCGCGGGGCGCTGGCGCGGCTGCCCGCCAAGACGCCGAGGCCGCGGAGGCGACAGGGCCGTCTGAGCGGGCGGCGGCACCGCCTGGAGGTGGCCCCCGGCCAAGGGCCAGGAGCTGGGCGCGCTCCAGGCTCAGCGGACACCTGGCAGCCGCTGGGCCAGGCGAGGGGCTGCCCGCCCGGCCCCGCTGCGCCAGGGGCGTCCCCGGCCTGAGCCACGCCCGGTCCCGGCTGCACTCCTGGCCGCCACCCCCAGGGCTGGGCACCTCGTGGCCGGGCCAGCAGAGGTGGAAACCCGCAGCTCCCCGCCCGCAGACTGGGTGGCAGGCGCGGCTTTCTTTCAGTCATTCAACAAACGCTGTGGAGGGTCTGCTGGCCAGAGCCCCAGCCTTTGTCCCTGGTTGTGGGGAGAAGTGACCCGGTGGTGTTCAAAAAGACCCCAGCCCACAGCAAGCACCCCCGTCCTTCCCTGTGCACCCACCGTGGGCCTGGTGCCACCGCGGCTCTGCCTGGCCTGTGAGGGAGACAGGGCCACACGGGGAAGCCAGATAGGAAAAGCCAGGGAGTCACCAAACCAGCAGAGCCTGGTCCAGCACGCGGGACAAATAAATACATAAAAGTCTAAATGCCGAGAAGACCCTCCCTCGGTTCCGTCCTCGATTCCATCAGAGGCTCCAGATCCCCAGTCCCCCCTCAGAATACAGGGTCTTTGTTGTTTTTGTGGTACCAGACAGTGGAACTCAGGGCCACCTGACCACGTCCCCAGGCCTTTTTGTATTTTAGAGACAGGGTCTCACTGAGTTGCTTAGGGCCTTGCTAAATTGCTGAGGCTGGCTTTGAACTCTCAGTCCTCCTGCCTCAGCCTCCCAGGTGGCTGGGATCACAGGCGTGCGCCACCACCCGGCTCCAAGCACAGTTCTTTTTTTTTTTTTTTTAAATATTTATTTTTTAGTTGTAGTTGGACACGATACCTTGGCTTTACTCATTTATTACTTTTATGTGGTGCTGAGGATTGAACCCAGGGCCTCGCCCACGCTAGGCGAGCTCTCTGCCACCGAGCCACAACCCCAGCTCCCCAAGCACAGGTTTTAGCCTTGAACTTGACTATGGTTCAATGTCCCCACCAAAACCCGTGCTGAGATTTAATCCCCACTGTTAGGTATAAGGAAGAAGGACCAGGTGGGACACTGAGAGGTGATGAGGCCAAACTGTGGTGGCGCACACCTTTCACCCCAGCAACCCAGGAGGCTGAGGCAGGAGGATCACAAGTAAAATCCTCAGTAAAATCCTCAGAGCCAGCCTCAGCAACAAAACCCTGTTTCAACATAAAAAATGAAAAGTACCCAGCTGTGGAATTCAGTGACAGGAAAAGATGGCGGGGCTGGAGGAGGACACCCTCTGAGGTGGGTGTTTTCACAGGGGACTGGGGCCTGCTGTACTGAGGGACACGGGGTGGGGGGGTGGGGGGGTTGACACCAGGGCTGGCGTGCCTGTCACCCAGCAGAGCCCAGAGCAGAGCCCAAGGCACGAGGTGGGATGGAGGGAAGGGGGAAGGAGGGGAAGGGAGGGGACTAGAGGGATGGAGGGGAGGGACGGAGGCAGAGGCAGGAAGAGGGGAGGAAAGGAGGAGCCAGTTCTCACCCTCCCAAGTCGGCCAGCCGCGTCTGGAGCCAGACCACAGGGCTCTCATTTTCTCCCCTGGTTTTTCTGCCAGAGGCAGGAAACATTCTCCCCTGGGAAGGTCAGAAATAGCTGAGCTCCAAAGCCAGGCTGGGAGAGGATTCCAGGCTGGAGGAGGGATTTACACCAAAGGGCCGGCGAGCAGAGGCTGAGGGCACTGCTGGCACCAGAAGGCCGGGGTTCAGACCCCACTTCTTCCCCTTCCTGCCTCTTCAACCTTGGATGTGGCCTCAGCTGCTCACCCACAGAGCAGGAATCAGTAATGGCACCAGACATGGCTGCATCAAGGTATTCAATTTCATCATCAGGGCTGGGTGCAGTGGTCCAAACCTTTAATCTCAGCAACTCGGGAGGCTGAGGCAGGAGGATCACAAGTTCGAGTCCAGCCTCAGCAACTTAGTAAAATCCTCAGCAACTTAGCAAGACCTTGTCTCACACACAAAATTTTTTTTTTAATATTAAGAAATTAAAAGGGCTGTGGACGTAGCTCAGTGGTAAAACTCCTCTGGGTTCAATCCCCAGTATAAATAAATAACTAAATAAGTTTCATTAAAAAGTTCATAATCCCAGCATCTCTGAAGTCTGAGGTAGATAGGAGGATGAGGAGTTCAAAGCCAGCCTCAGCAAAAATGAGGCGCCAAGCAACTCAGGGAGACCCTACCTCTAAATAAAATACAAAATAGGGCTGGGGATGCGGCTCAGGGGTCCAGTGCCCCTGAGTTCAATCCATGGTACCAAAAAATTTAAAAAGTTCATAGTCGGGGCCCACTTTCTCCATCTCTGCTGGCTTGGCACCTGCAGGCTCCCGCTCACTGAGTCCGGTGAACCCCATAACCAGGCCTGGCTCTCACTGACTGAGAGAAGGAAGTGCTCTGACGGTCAGTCCTGGTCACATGCCCCACCCCTGAGGCTGGGGCTGGGCCTGCTGGAAACCCTGGGCCGAGGGAGTGCGAGTGGCCAGGATGTCCCCAGCAGGGGCCCAGGGAGGACAGGACTGGGGGAGAAGGCCACAGCGCATGTGCCCACACTGAAGTGACCCGGGCCTGCGTGACGAGTTCCCACTGAGAAACAGGAGGAAGGCTCGGAGGAGGTCACTGACTAGACCGGGGCCCCCACAGCTGGCCTGAGCCCTCTGCTCGCACCTGCACCAGGTGGAAAGCCCTGGCCTCCGGGTCCTGTTTGCTGACCAGCCGACACCCCTGGGCGACCCCCTGGGGGTATCCACCTGAGGCTCCGGGGGTCCAGGCACTTGCCCAGAGTCACAGAGCAGGGGTGGGGGGGCAGAGCCAGGGTCTGCCTCCTGCCACCATCAGCACCAGGACAGGGTGGGGGAGAGGGGACCTGGCTAGGCCACCTTCCAGGGACCCCAGGACCTCAGCTGGCCCCCTAGGAAGCCCCAGTTCTGCCGTCCTCTAGATACAAGGGACCCTGCCCAGCAGCAGCCCCAGGAGGGAGGGGGGAGGCCCGGACGGCCCAGCTCTGCCCCTTAAGTGGGCGAGGCCCCGCTGCTGTCTCCTCTTCCAGGGAGGCTCGGGGCCTCCAGGGCAGCCGGACGCTGCTCTGCACAACAAGCAGCTCACAGCAGCCGCAGGTGCACGGCCAGGGCCCTGGGTGCAGCCGGAAGTCACGGGGTGTGCTGCCCATAAGCCCCCGCACCACCTGCAGGGAGGGCGGCCTCACACCACCTCCACGTGGGGGAGAAACCGAGGCAGGAAGAAGCTGAGCGGCCTCCTTTCCAACCCAGGCCTGTCTGTCCCAGAGCCGCCTGTGCCCAGTTTCTCTCTTATTCTTCCAACCAAGACTGGCCGGGCCTCACCCCCAGCCACACCCCTGCCCTTTTTGTGTTTGATTTAGAGACTGGGTCTCTGAGTCACTTAGATCCTCACTAAGTTGCTGAAGCTGGCCTTGAACTTGCGATCCTCCTGTCTCAGCCTCCAGAGCCTGTGATTACAGACTGCTCCTGGATCTTTTTTTCTTGCCGGGCCAGGGTCTGCCATGGAGCCCACCCTCAGCCGCCGTCCAGGACCCGCGGAGAACCCAGGTTGGCTTCCAGCACTGCGGTGCCCACTGCGCTGCTCTTTGGGTCGTGTCCTTCCCTGAGTCTGGAAACAGGGTGGCCCCGACTCCCCGGGGTTCCACCCTGAACAGCCACCCTGCTGCACCCCTGCCAGGGAAACGGAGGCCCAGAGTGGGCATGTGCAGGGCCCGAGGGTGCACAGCCTGGGCCCAGCTCTGCTTCTCAGGGCAAGAGTCCCCCAGCCCTGTGTCTCCTGTGCCTCCTGGACACAGCCCCTCTCTCTCACTCACACACCCTCCCCCTCCAGGCAGAGCTGCCTGCCCCTGGCTCCACGCTGGCTGCGGGGCATTTGTTACAGCAAAGTCAGTTCCCGCTCCCACCCTGAGGGGGCCAGCAGGCAGGGGGCTTCCTGGCCCCCGCCCGGCCCCATATGGCCTCCTCCTGGCCCATCTGCTTCCCATTGCCCGGCAGGGCCGCTGCGGGGCTGCCAGAGCCCGCCCGCAGGGGTGTGAAGTTTATGTGGCCGGGCCTGGAGCCGGTGGTGACAGGGCCACACACGCGCACACAGACACACACAGGATGCCCCCTGCCACCACCGATGTGCGCATGCGCACACCCTTCAGTCCCCACCACGTGTCCCCACGCACTCAGATTCACATCCTTGCACCAGCGAACGGCAGAGGCCCCTCGAACCCCAGGGACCCCCGCTGAGACACAACCCACCCCACAACCTGCGCGCCAAACCCTGAGGTGCGCATGCGCACCCATAGGCAGCCCACACCCAGAACACACCCCCGCACACCCGCGCCCAGACCCCCCACAGACCCCGCCCCGCACACAGCACCCCCATGTCCCCCACGCACACCTGCACACCGGCTCTGTCCCAGCACACACACAAGCTGTCCCAGGTGGCACAAAGAGTGACTTAGAGGCCACAGGCCCAGGTCACTGAGAGGCCACCTGGTGGGGAAGGGGCCTTGACCTCCAAGGCACAGGACAGCTGCTGCCGCCCCTCGCCCAACTTTGCTCACCTCCTAGGCGCTCCCCGCAGCCCAGGGGCCCCTTCCTCAGAAGGGGCCTGGAGATGGTGGTCACCGGCTGGAGGCCCGGGGACACATTCAAACCCAGGCCCCCGGACTCCGCATGCAGTGCTCTCCCTAAATGCCCTGCGGGTTCCCCGGGGACTCGCACCCCAGACAGACCTGGTGGCCTCCTCCAGGCATAGGCTG